TCGGTGCTTCTTTCCCAAGAGCCCCGATTGAAGGAGAGGGGTGCGAGGAAAGCGCGCGCACAGCTCTACCCATCCTGTCTCCCATCACGAGGCCTTGCCTCCAGTCCAGGCCGTTGGGAAATGAACATGCAGATCGTTCTGGACCTGGGAAACCCGCACGTAGTGGGCCTTCACGAGGCGCCTTCCGACCCGAATTGAAGCAGAGCTGGAGAGGACCGCACACGTTCAGGCTCTTTTAGAAAAAGCAGTGCTCTTGGGAGATGAAGAGAATGTCAGAGGATTAGCATTTGGAGGGGAGAGTTAGGGGGGAGAGTGAAGGATGAAGAAAGAGAAGAAGGCAGTTAACATTTGTCAAGTACCTGCCTCGTGCCAAGCATCTGACAATGGATTAAAGGTCTTGGAACGTGGAATTGGCAATCTTGGGTCTTTGCATCCTGTTGGAATGCTTGCACCAGGCAGACTGCAAAAGGTGTGAATTGGGGACACTCATTGCCCAGGAAACTATAGTGGACGGTGGAAAATGTGATCATCCACATTTACAAAAGGACCCGGCTTGCTCTCCAGTCTGGTTCCCTTGCTAGGCCCAGTCTTGCAGCTCCAACCCAGCTAGGCATCTTTCCTGGTGGGAAGATGATTGGAGACTCAGTGATAGTCCATCCTCAGAATAAGGCTGAGGCACCCATCTGTAAGTACCTACCAGCTAGTTGTAAGATATTGAGAATAAAAGTTAAAGATAACTTTTGTTGATGTTCCTCATTTGTTTTCAGCTTAAAATGCCTCCTGATCATAAACAGCCCGTATTCTTTGCAGCTGATCTCCCATCATAAACAGAGGGTTTTGCATGTCTTGCCTCTAGCTTATAATCTCCAGGTGAATACCATGTGGAGACATGTCTGGGCCCTGGTCCCTGGATGAATTCACCTCGTGTGACCACAAACCGCTGCCCTGGGGTGATTTTTAAATTGTCTTGACCTGTTATGTTATTTTGTCTTTTATGAATTTATGCTTTGTCTCTCCAACCAAATGAATATGAAGCTCGAAAATGGTGTCATTTTGCTCAGGACCACCCATAGCACCAGTCAACCCTCATTATACATTTGTAGATTTGAACCGGAGAATCCACCTGCCCTGTGAAGAGGTTCAACCTTTCAGGTTTGGCCCCAGCCTCCAGGAAGCTCCCACCTACTGGAGAACCCAGGGTGTCCAAGAAAGGAGGTGCCTCTCATTTCTCGGCCAATTCAAGGAAAATGAAATGTTTGCCGGCCACGAAGAAGGGATTGACACCAGTCAGAGGTAAAAGTTGAGACTTAAAAGATAATAGAAATGAGTCAAGGTCACCAGCTCTCTAAGGAAAGTGAGATCCCTAGTGTCCCATATTTTCCCAGCTCTGAAGGATATAAATCTCAATGTTCCCTCTGTTAGAATTTAAAGCATTCTGCCCAAGTGCCTAAGAAAATGTCTCCCATGGAAACAACCTAAATGTCCATCAATAGATGACTGGATAAAGAAGTGTGGTATATATATACAATGGAATACTACTCAGCCATAAAAAAGAATAAAATAATGCCATTTGCAGTAACAGAGATGGACCTGGAGACTGTCATTCTAAGTGAAGCCAGAAAGAGAAAGGAAAATACCATATGATATCACTCATATGTGGACTTTAAAAAAAAAAAAGACAAACTGATTTACAAAACAGAAACAGACTTACAGACATAGAAAACAAATGTATGGTTACCAGGTGGAGAAGGGGGTGGGAAGGGATAAATTGGGAGTTCAAGATTTGCAGATACTAACTGCTATATATAAAATAGATGTACAACTTTCTTCTGTATAGCATAGGGAACTATATTCAATATCTTGTAGTAACCTATAATAAAAAAGAATATGAAAACGAGTATATGTATGTCTATGTATGACTGAAACATCACGCTGTACACCAGAAATTGACACATTGTAAACTGACTATACCTCAATTAAAAAAAAAAAAAGAAAGAAAATTAAAAGAAAAAGAAGAAAATGTGTCCCAGGGCTCCAACCATCCAGCAGATAGGTTGTGGGACTTAAAGTACAAGACAGACTGTGCGGTGCAGGGTAGAGCTGTGTGTATGTACACACGTGTGCATACATGTCCCTACATGTATAAACACACACTCCTATACACATTTGTGTCTGAGAAGAAAAGGGATTCAGACAAGGCCTTAGGGCAGTCAAACAAATTACACAGCAAATAAATCCAGTGAACAGTTCTGAGCACCTATTTTGACCTTTTAATGTTGGGCAGGGTTGGGGGTGGGGTGGCACGGATATAAAAGAAGATAAAAGCAGCAGTTTTAGAGATTGTATTACCTCATACGATTCTCACCAGAGAGGTTAGTTTACTTACCTAGGGCTTAACCACAACTCGAATCCTCACCTCCTGTTTTCCAGGAAAGTACAACCTCACGGGTTGTAGTAAACAATTCACAGTATATATGTGTATCAAATCATCGCCCTGTACACCATCAACTTACACAATGTTATATGTCAAATTATACCTCAATAAAGCTGGTAAGGGAAAGGAGTGAGAACCACTGAGCTGGAAGAATCAACTTTTCTACTAAAAGTAAGACAAGGGGGGAGGGTAAAGCTCTGTGGTAGAGCACATGCTTAGCATGGACAAGGTCCTGGGTTCAATTAAAATAAATATATAAACCAGTGCCTCCATTAAAATAAATATATAAACCTAATTACCTCCCCCAACAACAAAAAGATGGTTAAAAAAATTGATAAGACAGATACTTAGGTGGAGTGGAGAAGAGCAAAAAGGGACACTGGGATAGAAAAAGGACCCAAACATCTGGCTAATGGGTCTAGACTTAACTTTGTAGGCAATGGGGTATCATCAGTGATTTTTCTTTGTGATATTATTAGAATTAAGCACAAGAAGGATTAGTCTATTAGCAATATATAAGAGATTGGAGAGAGAAAAGATTGCAAGTGGAGAGACCAATTAGGACAAAGATCATAACAAGTATCAAGGATCATAAGTTTTTTCACCATCAAACAGACAGACCTTTTAAAAAATTGATAATATCCATTTGTGCCAGAGTGTGGGGAAATAGGCACTCAGATTCTTCTGGTGGAGGTGTAAATTGATATAGCCAATTTGGAGGGTGGTTTAGCCTTATCTACCAAAATTTAAAATCAGCTCATCATCTGGTGCAGAAAATTCCACTTCAAAAAAAAAAAATAATATATATATATATATATATGCTTTTGCCTCTTTTTGCTTCTTTTTCTTTCTTTCTTTCCTTTTCCTTTTTTTTTTAAGTCAGGCTTAATTCAGACAGGCATATTCAGTCAAATAATTCAATCAGATAAAATTCACCTTTTTAAAAAGTATACTGCTCAATAAGTTAGACAAATGTGTAACTACCACCACATCAAGATGTGAAACATTTCTATTGTCCAAAAAATTTCCCTTGTGACAGCCAGCAGTCTACCCCCGGCCCCCACCCCGATCCCTGGCTACCACCAATTTGATTTCTGTTTCTATAGCTTTGCTTTTCCCAAAATTTCATATAAATGGAATAATACCGTATGTAGACTTTTGTATCTGGTTTCTTTTATTTAGCATAACATCTTTGAGATTCTTCTAAGTTGTTATATATATATCACTAATTTATTCCATTCTAACTAGTATTCCACTGAATGGCTATACCACAATTGGTTTATCCATTCACCAATTGATGGACATTTCAATTGTTGCAATTTTGTTTTGTTTTGGCTATTAGGAATATAGCTGCTATAAACATTTGCTTCCAAATCTTTGTGTGAACAAATGTTTTCAGTTCTCTTAGATACAAAGATAAAAACCTAGGATTTGAACTGCTAAGTCTTGTGGCAAATGTATATTTACATTACACAAAACTGTCAAACTGTCTTCCAAAGTGAATATAATACTTTGCATCCTCACCAGCAACGTATGAGAGTTCCAGCTGTTCCACATCCTTGTCAGCACTTGGTTTTATCAGTCACTTTAATCTGAACCATTCTAGTAGGTATGTAGTGATACCTTGCTGTGGTCTCTAATTTGCAATTTTCTAATGACTGTTGATGTTGAGCACCTTTTCGTTAATATTTCTTTTTTAATGAAGTGTCTGTTTGAATCTTTTACTAATTTTATAATTGTATTGTTTGTTTTCTTATTATCAAGTTGTAAGTATCTTTATATATCCTGAATACAAATTCTTTTTCTGGTATTTTTGCA